GAATCATGGTGGGGATCTTGCAGGAGAAACATTGCTAGGTTGTTGTGCTACCCTAATATTGGGGACAGATCTGATTGACTGAAACAGTGAATCTTGTACTGTACCTTTAAAGATGCAAGACTTGGGCTTATTCTGTTGTTGCTGGGAGTATATTCCAAAGCCAAGGGCCCTCTGTTGAAAAAGCCCTAGCTCCTGAAAGTCTTATCCTTGGGACCGAGAGCTGCCATGGATAATTACAGAGGGAGTGGCGATCTCTAAATCTTGCTCATTAGCAGTGTTAAAGATAAGGACCTCATACGAGATCATTCGCTATTCTCACCCAGTACGCCCGCATATGGACAGTAATTTCCAATTTTAATTGCCACATACTGTGTGTACATGATCCATATTTCATTTGTGCCTAGTCTTTCCATTTGTGCTTTGTGGATTGTTTAACCAGGGGTCTCATCTCTTCCCATTAGCTAACAAAGGGCTGTGTACTAGGGAAAGCTGACTGTCGTTTATCAAGAAACTAATCTGATATTATTTTTGAACCAAAATTTAATAACCAGTTTTGACAGATCATGTGTGTTTGCATACATCTCTGTGTGTAATAGGCACATGTGTATCTGGATAAAATACTTAGGCTGCATGCTAATACACAGATGCAAGGGGAAAGTCTGGGTGTGCATTCATCCTGTGATCTTTATGTACCTGTATTAACTGTATGCCTGATTAATTCAGCTAAAATTAGATTGGATGCATTTCTAGCTAATTTTACCTGAATCAACCAGACATATAGTTAATACATGTGTAATGAGTAAAACTAAATGCAAATTAATGGCCAGAGGACTACAGTGGAATTATCAGAGAGTAACAGTAAGTGACACATAGGCATATGGTTATGTAGTCCTGTGGTTAACCAGCATGTGGTTAATGGGTAGACTTCTATAAACAGTAAAAGGTAAGCGGAGTGTCTTCCTGCTTTTGCCAAATTGTGTCACAACAGGCACCATCATTTTGAAATCTAATAAGTTTTGAAGAATATCTTTAAAGCAGTTACAAATATTGCACCTGGCCCTGATTCTCTATAGTAATTTTTCTGATTTTACAATCATGTTTAACTATTAAAAAATATTTTTCTCGCTCCTTGTGCTGTGTGAAAAACGTACAGAAAGAACAGGGGAACTGATTGAGTGTGTTAGGGAAACAGTGAAAATGCCCCCATTAAGTGCTATTAAATGTCCCAAGTAAATAAACTGGAAACATTATAGCTAGAAATAGATTAATAAATAGAAAAGTATTATTTTTCTCTAATCTCTTTCAGTTATAGGCATTTTAGGTGCTACTTGTAATAACAGTAGGTAAAAATATTTTCTTAAAGAAGCAGGATATGTTCTTTGGCTTGATGATGTCCCTTTAATATTCGTTAAAAATCTCATGTCTTGGGGTGTTAATTTTCTTGGGGAGTTTTTAATAGCACTTATTTTTGATCCCTCATAGAAAAGTCTGAGTATTGGCAACATAATTGCTATGATCTGTCTTACAATTTGGTATTTAAAAAATGTCAAAAACACTTTAGCCTTGAGTCTGGCTGAGTGGACCCAAGCCAGGGGTCAGCCGTCTTGAGGCATGGATCAAAGGTGGCTTTTATGCCACCTCTGCAGCTCCTCCCAATACCCGGAGCTACTTTTCAGCAGAGGTTGGAAGGGTATTAGGAAGGCACTGGACTGGGATGCAGAGGATCCTGGGAACTACAGGCCAGTCAGCCTCACCTCAGTCCCTGGAAAAATCATGGAGCAGGTCCTCAAAGAATCAATCCTGAAGCACTTGCATGAGAGGAAGGTGATCAGGAACAGCCAGCATGGATTCACCAAGGGAAGGTCATGCCTGACTAATCTAATCGCCTTTTATGATGAGATTACTGGTTCTGTGGATGAAGGGAAAGCAGTGGATGTATTGTTTCTTGACTTTAGCAAAGCTTTTGACACGGTCTCCCACAGTATTCTTGTCAGCAAGTTAAGGAAGTATGGGCTGGATGAATGCACTATAAGGTGGGTAGAAAGCTGGCTAGATTGTCGGGCTCAACGGGTAGTGATCAATGGCTCCATGTCTAGTTGGCAGCCGGTATCAAGTGGAGTGCCCCAAGGGTCGGTCCTGGGGCCGGTTTTGTTCAATATCTTCATAAATGATCTGGAGGATGGTGTGGATTGCACTCTCAGCAAATTTGCGGATGATACTAAACTGAGAGGAGTGGTAGATACGCTGGAGGGGAGGGATAGGATACAGAAGGACCTAGACAAATTGGAGGATTGGGCCAAAAGAAATCTGATGAGGTTCAATAAGGATAAGTGCAGGGTCCTGCACTTAGGATGGAAGAATCCAATGCACCGCTACAGACTAGGGACCGAATGGCTAGGCAGCAGTTCTGCAGAAAAGGACCTAGGGGTGACAGTGGACGAGAAGCTGGATATGAGTCAGCAGTGTGCCCTTGTTGCCAAGAAGGCCAATGGCATTTTGGGATGTATAAGTAGGGGCATAGCGAGCAGATTGAGGGACGTGATCGTTCCCCTCTATTCGACATTGGTGAGGCCTCATCTGGAGTACTGTGTCCAGTTTTGGGCCCCACACTACAAGAAGGATGTGGATAAATTGGAGAGAGTCCAGCGAAGGGCAACAAAAATGATTAGGGGTCTAGAACACATGACTTATGAGGAGAGGCTGAGGGAGCTGGGATTGTTTAGCCTGCAGAAGAGAAGAATGAGGGGGGATTTGATAGCTGCTTTCAACTACCTGAAAGGGGGTTCCAAAGAGGATGGCTCTAGACTGTTCTCAATGGTAGCAGATGACAGAACGAGGAGTAATGGTCTCAAGTTGTAGTGGGGGAGGTTTAGATTGGATATTCGGAAAAACTTTTTCACTAAGAGGGTGGTGAAACACTGGAATGCGTTACCTAGGGAGCTGGTAGAATCTCCTTCCTTAGAGGTTTTTAAGGTCAGGCTTGACAAAGCCCTGGCTGGGATGATTTAACTGGGAATTGGTCTTGCTTCGAGCAGGGGGTTGGACTAGATGACCTTCAGGGGTCCCTTCCAACCCTGATTTTCTATGATTCTATGATTCTAAGAACTGAGTTTTTATTCCCGGCTGAGCTACACACTTCTTGTGTGACATTGGCTGAGACACTTAGGGCTTGTAGCAATGCACACTAGAAGGGTGTGAATTCTAACGCACATCAACATACTGTGTACTAACTGGCCTGTGTAGACCCTGCTGGTGTGCACTGAAAGTTCCCTAGGGCACATTAATGTACTACTGTTTGGAAAGGGACCACATTAGTGTGCAAGGGAACTTTTAGTGCACGTCAGCAGGATCTACATGGGCCAGTTAGTGCACAACACATTGGTATGCTCTAGAATTCACACCCCCGTAGAGCGCATTGCTGCACTGTGTAAATAAGCCCTTATTTAACCTGTGCTTTACTGCTCCATCCTAATTCACTGGGACATTGTGAGGACAGAAACCATTAATGATTATGAAGTGCTCAGATATTAGTGCTGAGGGCCATACCGATACCTAGATAAGAACTGAGTTCAGTTACTATTGTAAGTGAAGCTGTCTTATTCTCGTCACACGTGGATGTATACCTACATCTAGATAAACAAAGCAAACTATAACAATGGGAAGCTTTCATCAGAAGAAGCCTGAGACTTGGATGACAGGAATGTTGGAGTCCAGCAATGAGGTACTGGTGTAGAGGTGTGTGGGAAAGTTTGTACAGCACATGCCTGTGCAAGTATAACCTCAATTATCTGAAACTCCCCATTGTCCAAATCAGGGCCGTGTTTCTTGAAAATTTCATGATTATCCATGTCCCCCAGGACATTCAGATAACTATACTGAAACGCGCTACGGGTAGTACTGTAAATGCCAAAGTAATAATTAATATTTATACAGTGCTTTATATTGTCAATATGCCACACATTCAGTAACTAAATAATCTGAAGGACACTAGACAAGTAGTAGTATTATCCCCCCTCCCCAATTTTACAAATGAGAGTAAAAGGAGTTTACACCAAAACAGAAACAGAAATATTTAAATGCATCATAATCATGGCAGCATATATCATAATTTCTTATCTCCATTTGAACCACCAAAACAACTAATTTTCAAAACTCAGAACTATGGCGTGCACATACCATATCTGAAAAGTCTTCCCTCTGAATTATAATGAAACCCACCATAATATCTTAGCAAAACTTTCCATAGAAATCCAGGAAGCTAGTTTTTACCCACAAAGGGATAAAATAAAAAAAAATTGAGTTTGTATAAAATATTCTTGTCCAGGTTTAAAACAAGGGGGAGGAAGTGGAGGAAATCCAGAACAATAAAATCTCTGTTATGTCTTCATGGAACTCTTTAATTCCCTTCAGACAAACTATAGAGATTTTTTTTATCTGTTCTCTGTAATTTCTTGGAGGTATGGTAGTAGATTTCTCTGTATTTTAAAGGATTCCTGTTTATTCTGTAGAATTGATCTAATAGTAGCTTGAAGGATCTACCATGGGATTTTCAAAGCTTCCTAAGGGACTTGAACACCCAGTTCCCTTTGGTGTTGATGGGAACTGTGTGTTCAGATTCCTTAGACAGCTTTGGAACTCAGCCATAATGTATAGGGCTCTGTGAATTAACACCCTTAACAAATATAGATAATTTGTAAGTGGTAGTGTAGATAATTTAAAATATAACTGTCCAGCTGTAAACTGTGTATTTTACAAAGTATAAATAAGATTAACTGTAAATCAATTATACATGCTTGGAGCAGTAGCCATGTATGGAGTATACACAGCCTTGGATTGCCCTGAAGTGGATGTGAAATGCTGCACCGTATGGGCACATATATAATATATAGAGACTAAAATATTATGTGTTTTTGAGCTGTTGAAAATGACAGATACAAATTCTCTCAATGCATGTTGTATTGTAATCATCAGTAAGAGAGTAATGTGCTTTCCTGTTGCAGGGAAGAGCTTCACCCTAACCATCACAGTCTTTACAAATCCTCCGCAAGTAGCCACGTATCACAGAGCCATCAAGATAACGGTGGATGGACCTCGAGAACCCAGAAGTAAGTGATCTGGCAACAATGTTAATGCAGGTGTGAGATTCCATATTAGAAATGGGGTTCATTACCTGTCAGATTAAAGCAGCAAAATATAAGATTCATTGGGAGCAATGGATGTGCTTTGAGCTAAGGCTATCCACTAACGATTTTAAATATGCCTCTCTAGAGCTTAGTTCTGCACGAGTGTATTCGGTTGTTCAAAAAAGTATTTGAAGTGCTCTGCACTTGAAGGTAACAAACTCAGGTAGGATTTGTATAGTTCACAAGACAGAAGGGATATTGGGTAAAAAAAGGACAGGACATACATTATGCAGCATTTCCTGGTCACTTTGACTTTCAGATGGTCATAGGATTTTTAACTTTAGAAACCAAGATGCCACTGATCTAACTTTTCAAAGTTGGCAGACAAAAGCAAAAAAAAAAAAAAAAAAAATTCAGAAAGATGACAACTGGCTGTTCTTGTGTATAGTTTATTGTGCCTCATGCTGGTTTATAACTTAGGAAAACTGTAATTGTTAAAAACAGCCCTTCAAACAGACAGATGGAATTTACTCCACTGGGGTGCACATTTTCACAGACAGTCGTTCTTGCCAAATTTTTTAAAAGCATTAAGTATGAATAGAAGATGAATGATTTGATATCTGTAGGGACAAATCCACAAATTTCACACAAGTACAGTTTTTGGAAAAAACAGATGTACAGTCATCAGATGCTTGTGCAACACATGCTCTGCTTATTACCATGGGCAATAATTAACCTCAGTCACTAACCTTCATGTAGAATTTTCATATTTTTTATCAAAATGCCCTGATGTAAATTGAGGTTTGTGGTTTCCTTCTTTTATTCCCTCTGCACATTTGGCATAGGTTCTAACTGTTGTTTAAGAGAAGTCATCCCAGGAGAGGAGAACAGAAAAAAACGAACACCCACTAGAGGGTGATCCGTGTAAGCCAGGGTTATTTACTGAGTATTGGAAGAACAGTGAGGTTCCAATGGCTAAATATAATAGGTTAGAAAACTCTCCGACTTTCAGCTACCTTTTATTCTCAATAGTTGCCTGCAGTTATGGGCTAGATCCTCAGCAGGTGTAAATCAGTATATGCAGCTGTACTAATGTATTAAAGATCAGGTCCCAGGGTTTTTAGGATTTGAGGCCAGCCTTCGAAACACAGAGGACTTTTTCTTTTCTTTTCTTTTCTTTTCTTTTCTTTTCTTTTCTTTTTGTGGTGGTGATGTTTTGTTTTGTTTTGTTTTTTGAATGAGTGTCTACATTGTTCCTGAGAAATATCTCTAGAAAACCAGCAACTGTGCATGCAAAGCAGGTATTTGTATATGCAAATACCAGATCTGCATGCACAATCACCTGGCCTTAGGTTTTTTGAATACGTGTCTGATAGAGTTCTAAGAAACAATATCATTCTGATGATCTACCTCCTGGTTTAGATCAATTGCTCAGTTGGTATAATAGTTAATATTTAATAAGGTTTTACATTTAAGAGAGGAAGTAAAGAAAACATCTCTGCTGAAGCTACATATGTATCTTCACAACTCAAACACATGTAAAAGCATTTTTGTATGCAATTTCAATTTGTCATAGGGAAGTCAAACGTATAAAATGAGTAGTACACACAAGGAAGTTTTATGCACGTAGTACTAAGGGGTCAAATTTCCTTTTGATAGAGACACATAACTCTCATTATTGCCAGATAATCTGTTGTATATAAAAGAACAGAACATTTGCTACTAAGCACTGTAGTTTGATATCTAATCAAGAGTTTCTTCAATTGCAGCAATGGTTACATATATATGATACATGCAATACACTTTAGATAGTTGAGGAAAATGCAGTGAACTGTTTGACTAGATGGGCCTAATCCAGCCCCAGTCAATGCAGAGAAGACATGCTACCCAGAGCACACGTTATAATAGGCTTATGGGTAAACCTCAGTTTTCCTAAACTGTGTCATGTCACCTGATTTTTATTAATTAGGCAGAAAATTCCTTCCACTGTCTAATTCTTTTCAGTATCTCTCATAACATTCAGGCAATTGCGGCAGTACTGAACCATACCTTATTTTTATATACTCTCTCACTCTTTGTATTTATGGCACTTTGGATTTGTTGAATCAATTAGATCCAATGCAGTCATCTGAACAAAAATAGCTTGTTTTACTGCTATCTGCATAAACATATTTTAAGGGGTTCCTTGTAGTACATGCAGTGTGTTGCAGGGATTGAAAATTACACTGCTCCAAGGTCAAGGCTTTGCTATGTTCAGACCTGAAGCAGTGTCAAAAGAAGCACTGCTGGACTGAGGGGATCATGAAAGATGTAAGCTCCAGTATCTCCAGGCCTGCCATGCTTAGAAATAAATAGTTCACAATCAAATTGCAACTTAAAAAGGAAACATTAGTTCAAAACTTTATTGACATGAGTAAAATTATGCACATGCAAGTGTCTGCGGGATCAGGACATTGCTAACTCCCTCATGAGCATGCCCCTCACAGAATCATAGAATATCAGGGTTGGAAGGGACCTCAGGAGGTCATCTAGTCCAACCCCCTGCTCAAAGCAGGACCAATCCCCAATTTTTGTCCCAGATCTCTAAATGGCCCCCTCAAGGATTGAACTCACAACCCTGGGTTTAAAGCAGGCCAATGCTCAAACCACTGAGCTTCCCCAGGGTCCCTCAAATATGCCCATTTTCCTTTACACTTTTTTTAAAACTCTGTACATTTGCAGGTAACATGGGGTGCATATCAGTGCCCATTCTGGAGGCCTGTCCCTGGTGCTCAGCTTTACATATGCTCATACATAGCCTAAGATTGCATTTTCATGGATGTGCAAATAGCCTTGCCCAAAGTGCTGTATCTATTTCAAGGATTTGCTAAATTGCGGCCTAAATAGAAATGTTTGGGGGAGGAGGTTATGGTTTTATAGGAAGTCTTTAAAGTCATGGCACTGTTTCTGTTCGTCTTAGGGGATGGGCTTTTTTGTTTTGGTTTGGTTTTTTTACAACATTTAAATTGAGGGTCAAATTTGAATTGACAGTGTGTCTCATCTCTAACTCTAGTGGCTTGTGATATATTGGCTGCAAACATCATGTTGAAGTTGAAGTGGGGAAAAAAACCCAAAAAAACCCAATCAAAATAATATGATTTTAAGGTGCAGTATCTCGCAGCCTGCCAGGGCTAGAAACACTTGGACAGGCACACTACTAATTGTGCTTTCAGGACCAGTAATCTCTCCCAAGCATTGGTCTTGTACCCAAGGATCAGACAGAAAAATGTCAATTCTCATATTTTACTTTTCACAATAGCAGGCTGACACCTCTGCTGGGGCGCAGTTAAGGTAGTAATCCTAATACAAAATTGTAATTGTTCTAGTTACCGAGTATTAACCCTAAATATTTGAAAACATGAGGAACTTGTTATGGTCTTTTCTTTTCTTTTTTTATCTTGCCTTCAGAATTACAAGAGTGCAAAATCAGCCTGATAATGGGGCTGTGGTTGCAACATTAACTTTGGAAAGATTATCCCCTCTTTGCAATAAATCAACACACACCTGCACAGTTGATCTTTGAACCCTGATCCTTCAAGACTAAAACCACAAGCCTCTACCACTTGAGCCAAAGGAATATCTCTATGAGCTACTTCTTGTATAAATGCCTCCGTGTTCTTTCTAAGATCTTGTCTATGTTTGCAGCAGCACATAGGGTATGTGTAGCTACATGCCACAGTGAAAGGCAGGCTGTGTCCACACTTGTCACTGCAGTGTGTAGCTACACATGGCAGTGAAAGTCTCTGACAGCGGGGAAGCAGCAGGAAGGCAGTGTAAAAATAGCAGTTTAGACTTTGCAGGTATTGCTTGGGCATCTAGAGAGCTTTGGAGTGTATGTATATACCTATCTAAATCTATCAGCAACAAAAATTGTTACGAACTTTGTTTTATACATACAATATAATTACTTTATAGTCATCATATATAACTAGTGCCTACGTTTTCTACTGTATGGAAAGTTTGAAAAAGCAGCAACAAGCCATTTTTGAGCTAAGAATAAATTTAAGACAAAGGTCAAAATCCAAACCAGGATAATTTTTAATGAGATTTATCTTAAAAAAAACCCAAGCAAACACAGATCAACAAACTGTCTTCAAACTTTGCAGAAAAGCACTCTCTTGTCTTCAGAGATTATTTGGTCAAACATGTTTGACTCAAAATTCTAGGGGTGTGGTATTAGGGCGTTATAATGGAAGCTGGCTGCCTCCTTAATTTATGTGCATAGGACGGGCAAAAGGTGAAACAAGAACATCTAATGAGATTTTAAGCCATTTTTGTCAAATAGAAAAGTACAGATATCCAAGGATGTAAAAGCAGGTATCCATTAACTTCTGGATTTTTTTTATTAAGTATTTGTGATGTGTAAAGGTCTACGTAATATACCACGTACTACTGTGAGTGCATGTCTGCATAGATACATACAAAACCAAATTTCTCAGATGTGGATCCTGAAGTGCTTGCACAATTATGTACTTTATGGGTAGTTGATTACAATGATTGTGCATGGAAATGGCCAATTATTTATTTATTAGTCAATTTGCATATGTAAATACCAGATTTCCATTTGTGGTAACTGCATGTACAAATTAGTTACAGAATTGTGTCTGGTTTTAATTTCTTTTTTTTTTTTTCTGCATTTCTGAATATGCATATCTATGCAGTGTTTCTTGTAAAATGATCATAGTGCACAGAGCCAAAGCACAAAAGGACATGAGTCTTCCTCCACTACTTTTATTTATTTTTTAAAAGTTTTCATTTTCCAGATTTTCATAAATGCTTATTTTTGACTTTTGTATAAGAGGGAAACATCCTGTGCTGGCAAGGAGATACGATGACCTCAGAGCTCATTTTCAACTCCATCTTCTCTGATTCTATGACTCATAAAGCAAGTTGCGTTTCTATGAACTAATTCCATGGGGAAAATCATTAGCATTGCAGATCAA